ACCCCCACGGAGGCAGGCAGAGCCTGGGCTTGCAGCCGGAGGACACGGCGAGGATGGAGCTGGGTTTCGCTCCAAAGCCAAGCCCCAAAGACCAGCACGTACACCCCCAGGCTGGAGGGGAGTGATAGTGCCGGCCTCCCCGTCCCTCCGACACTTCGCTTCTCCCTCCTGGCACGATGAGCGGGGTGGCAGGTCAGCAGGGTCTCTGTTTGAAGTTTTGCCTGTTCTTTGCCTCATGTCCTTGATCTGTGTATTTCTGTTACTCTAAGCGGAGAATCTGGTGCTGGTAAGACTGTAAACACCAAGCGGGTCATTCAGTACTTTGCCATTGTCGCAGCCTTGGGCGACACACCGGGCAAGAAATTAGTAAGACCCTCTTTTGAAACAAGTTCTTGCTGTTTTCTTCCTTTCTTTATTATTTTTTTTTCTTTTTTCCCCCCTCCCCCTTTCTTCTTCTTTTTACTTTTTTTTTTCCCCCCTCCCCCCAACTTTTTGCATTTGGAAGCGTGTTTTGGTCTGACCCACCCAGGGCTTGGCTTTTCCCTGACTTTTGAACAAGCAAGGCTTGAAATTATTCTGCTCAAGGGGAAATGGATTTTTTTTTATGTGGCTGCTCAATCTGCGCAGCCTGGAAGAGGTGCTTTAGATGCCCTCTTTATGTTCTCTTCCTCCTTCAACACCCCACAGATCTTCTTAAGGAGCATTAAAAGAATGGAGTAAACCTGCCATTTTCCACCTTGCCTCTTTTAAGCCTTGCTTTTCGTCCTTTTCTCCTTTTTTTTCTCCTCTTGTTCATTTTGACCCTTTTCTACCTTGTGCTTTTCTTGCTCTTGTTTTGATTCTTGCATTTCTTTGGTGCTGGTTATTTTTGAGCTGCCCTTGCAATTGCTTACTTCTTCTTGATACGTTGAGGCTCCAGCCTGCTTTTCCCTTGAAGCAAACTGGCTGCTTTAGGTATCAGATGAGCAATACTTCAGCATTATTTTCTTTACTCTTCTTTGGGTTTGGATTTAACTGTTCTTGCTTTTTGACGCATTTCTTTATTTTCTTGAGCTAATCTATTTAACAACTTTTTGGCATCTCTTATAAAGTTTAATCCTGCCATTTTTTCTTGGACGTTTTTTGGCACTAAATGGTCATGCCCTGCTTTTCTGACCATGCTTCTTGTGGTTCTTGCCTGGCTTTTCTGGATTTCTAAAGACAATTTTCTTTCCTTTCTCTAGGCAGCTATTGCCACTAAAACTGGGGTAAGTGTTGTAGACTCCTAATCTTTAATGCTGAGGACAGGGTTCTGCCGCGCCGCAGAGCTATGGCGGGGTGATGGGGAATGCCTGTGTGGGGCATCTGCCTTGGGTCTGGGAGCAAGGGCTGCCCCAGCACCTGGGCAGCGTTTAGATCTCCGCTTGGCTTTGTACCTCCCTACCTCCCGCCTTCCCATAGTTTGAAGCTTTGGGGTTTCATCTCTTAGTGACTTTCTACCTTTCTGACTCCAACCTCTCCCTCAAGGGATCATTACTCTTCAAACACTCATTTCTAACCAGCACAGTGTTTGCCTGGGGGTGGCGTGGGCTTCTCCAAAGATAAGGTGAAGCCTCCACTCTCTGAGTGTCCCCCGAGCCTGGAAGCCCAGCTGAGGGTGGTGGTGCTGAGGGGCAGGGGAAGAGCCTCTTTGCCTCGGGCAGCACCCTGCTCTGGCTGCAGACCGGGGCCCTGACGATGCCTGGACGTGCCACCCTCTGCAAAGACCTGAACTGGCTTGGCCCACCACATTGCAGGCAGCTGATGGCCTTCTCTGGGGTGCATTTCTGAGGTGCTTGCTTAGCTCCAAGCAAACAACTGAGTGCCTTCGGAAATCCAGCAAAGGTTTGGTCCCTGGCACTCTCAGCACCCCAAGGGCTCAGCCATTTCAGCAGCTCAGTCGTTGTTCCTTGGCCCTCGGTTTCTGTGTCTGAGCACCGAGGGACAGCCTTTAGCTGATGCACGCTCTTGGTTGGGGGATGCTCATTGACACATGAGTCTCAGACCACTTGGGCAAACTTACTAAGAGTGAGCTGGGGGGGTGAATCTGTGGGTCCTGGGGCAGCCCATGGGGCAGCCCCCATTGAGTCTCACAGGCCAGGCAATTTTCGATCAGGCTGAATTTAAAGATAACAGATCAAATGATATCCAAGTGACAAAATGCAGTTTGTTAGTAAAGCTGTGATTCACAGCTGCCCCGTCTCTTTTGCCCTTCACATGCCTGGAACTGCAGAGGTGGGGAGCAGTCATGGGCCCTACATTGAAAAGGCAACGTGGCTCTTGGGGGGGCAGAGCCCAGAGCTAGTGTTTCCCACCTCAGGAAAGCCCTATGGACTGTAATGTGTCAGAGCATGGGCAAAAGCTCTCATGAAAAATCCTGCAGGTGCTTGTGCCATCAAACTCTACTACTGTTGTCAAACCCCACTGTCCTGTGCGTGGCTTGGCACGAGTCTCTTGCTTCTGTCCTTGAATTCTTGTCCTGCTTTGCCTGCATTAGGTGGAGGCTGACTCTTTATCTTTGAACTGTGCATGTGAAACATGAGTGGAAAAACAAGGTTAGGGGAAGATTAATCTTGGGGCTTCCTCAGGAGAGCTCCAGTGAGTTCAGCAGATCACACCAGCTGGGACCTGTGATGTGTTCCCATCACACTGTGACCCTGCCGTGCATGTTGTTGGTGTAGGGAGTCATAGATCAAGGCTGTTTTCTGGATCTCTTCTTTTGCAATGTGCTGTGATTTGAACTGTCCAAGACTTTGGCTTCGTGGAAGAGGAAATGCCTGGCAGAGTCAAAGAGCCTGAAATGTTTCAGACTGTTGTGGTGACAATGCGTGCTTGCTCTTGCTTTGCATATTGTAACAGCCTAAGAAAGGGGCTAAGGACTGCTGTGTGCAGAAGGGAGAGTAGCCTGGATCCTCAGAGGGACCGGTTTAGGCAAGGAGAAGCCCACAGAGAGCATTGCTGCAAAACCTAGCTCTGCTGACCCCTGAACCGAGCTGCATTGCTTCGTGAGACAAAGAGATGCCTCAGGAGCAGCAGGCTCTTAAAGACAGCTAACAAGCATAGCAGGGAGATGGTGCAAGGAGCCCCACTCTGTTTCCCTGTGTGGTTGGTAACAGATCCCCTCTGGCTGGGTGGGAGCTGACACATCCTTTGGTTCTGTTTTCTAGGGCACCCTCGAAGATCAAATCATTGAGGCTAACCCAGCTATGGAAGCTTTTGGCAATGCCAAAACGATAAGAAATGACAACTCCTCGCGTTTTGTAAGTGTCCTAGCAAGACAGGGAGCTACTGTGCCATGTTTATGTAAGCTGAATGCATCGCTTGTGGTATCGTGTTTTTGTACGGTGTGAGCCAAAGGCATGTAGCAGGAAGCTAGCTCTGCTTCCTGGTGGGATTGGACTGCTGAGGCCAAGCTGCTTCTGGTTACATCAGTGCAGTAAATGGTGTGCTGGTCAGAATGAATTGCCCTGGCGTCACAGCCTGCAGCTAGAGAGAAGTCCCTTACAGGACCAAAGCTGAGAGGGCTGGTAAGCATAGCGTGGAGTGCCGGAGCTGGGACAGACAAGCGTGCCCCTTCCAGGGAGCAGCATCTTTTTTGCTAAGCGCAGCCTGGGTCTGCTGTGGGATGCAGAGCTCACCAGCCACAGGTGTGGCCTGTTTGTGTGCCTTGGAGGGAAAGGAGACACTCCTGGGTGAGATTCCTCAGCACACTACAGAGCAGGAGGCTGCGGGCAGACTCAGTATCACACTGCCCCGCAGAAACGCTTAGCTTTAAGAACAGGCCTGAGGACAGGGATTTGTTCTGCTGTGAGTGAAATTTCTGCCTGCCCAGTGTTTAAAGCCTTAGGCAATGCTGTCTGGCAATGCTCCGCACATTGCAAACCAGAGAACTTCACCCACCTACCTCTCACAGAGCCCAGCAACTTGCCTGGCATCAGCAGAAGCCTAAGTGGGAAATTACCGTGTCTTGTAGTTGTCTGAGGTTTCTAGGAGCTGTTCAGCATTGTACCTGTGTAGCCAAGCCCAGCACTTACCTCATGTGTGTGTTTTCAGGGCAAGTTCATCCGGATCCATTTTGGCCCCTCAGGGAAGCTGGCCTCAGCAGATATTGACATCTGTGAGTAAATGTGTGCCAGCTGCAGTGGGGAGGGATTTCATCTCACTATTTGTGCCTATGCTGGGTCAGCTCTAGGAAAGAACAAGCCCTCCTCTAACCCCTCTGCTCTATTTCATTCTAGATCTTCTGGAAAAATCAAGAGTGATTTTCCAGCAACCCAAAGAGCGAAGCTACCACATCTACTACCAGATCCTCTCTGGGAAGAAACCAGAGCTGCAAGGTAAGGCAGCTGAAGCTGCAGCATAGCCTTTATAGCATGGTGGCTTGAAAATAGCCACAAAGAGCTCTGTTGTCAGCTTTGGGGTCTACAGGGAATGAGCAAACCCAGCTCACCATGCAGGTACTGCCCTCGAATGCTTTGCTAGCTGTGCAGGATCATAGGATTGGTGGATAATTCAGGGTGGAAGGGATTTCAAGAGGTCATCTAGTCCAGCCTCCTTTATCCTCACAGACTGAGAAGCCAGACTAAAGCCCTTTCTGCAACTGTCTAGGAATAGAGAAGTGGTCCCTCAGGGTCTATCTGGTGGAAGCGCACTTTGCACAGCTGCCTTGCATAGAGCCCTCATCGTGTGGTGGGTACAGAACTGACCTCAACATGAGCAGGCTGGATATTTGCTCATTTTGGGGTAGGGGGAAGTGTTTTGCAGCCTACTCTGAGCTCCTTCAGCTACCCTAGTGAGATGACGTGTTCAAACAGGTCACCTGAAGGTGAGCTTGAAAACAGCCGCACAGCTCACTCTCAGTAGTGGCCCTGGTGTAGGCATGTCCTAGATGTGTTCCCCAGAACGGTCCCAGCTGACTGGAATTTGCCCTGGGGCAGTTCTGTGCTCTGAGCAGCCCTGCCTTCCAGGTGCCAGGTCACACGTAGTGCACAGGAAACCTTTCCACGCTGCAGAAAGATGGCTGGCACAGCCCCCTGGGTTGGTCAGTCTCTTGGCTGTGGGCTCTTGAGCTTGTTGCTGGTTCGAGAACAATACCTTATTAGGCAGGTCTGGAGAGCTGTGCAGAGCAGTAATCTTATCTGGTGGTCACAAGGACATGGATGGCCACTTCTAAATCAGTCTGCAGCCAGGCCATATCCCAAGATAGCAAGCAGGAGGCACATCACGGAAGAGATGGACCCCATGTGTGGGCCTGCCTGGGCTTGAAGAGGCTGTTCCTCCCACCGACTGGTGCCCTCTAGTTGAGGCTGGGGAAGCCTTACCTCTTCATCTGTGCCCAGGGTTGCCTCTCTGCCCCAGCTTCATCTCTGTCAGACTGGCCTCACCCCCTGCATGTCTTCCCCCAACAGATATGCTGCTGCTCTCCCTCAACCCCTATGACTACCACTTCTGCTCTCAGGGTGTAACAACTGTGGACAACCTGGATGACGGCGAGGAACTCATGGCGACAGATGTATGTGTACTTCCTTCACGCTGCACAGCCCGAGGCAGGGGCCTGGGGGAGGGCACAACCTCCTTCTGGGCAGGCATGGGGACGTGTTCTGGCCTTTCTGTGTCCCCCTCTAAATTAGCTGTGAGTTCCCTCTGGTTTATTGGTAGTTGCTCTACACAGGTTGTGAGCCTACAAGAAAGAGTAGAGTGACTCTGATCTCCATCAACAGCCTCCTCCAGGCAGAGAAGGGAGAGTAATTCCCTGCATTAGGAAGTGCCTGTAGCACATGAGCACTTCCCATGGCTCCCATGAGAAGATGAGACCTCAGCTCGGAAAAACCTCCTGCTTGTGGATACTAGGCTAGTCCTTTTGCTTTCAAATAGATCTTGTGGGAGCCGGACTCATATTCAAAAGCCCATGGACAGGATTCCTTGGCTAGGTGCCCACTGGATAGAGCACCCTGCCCACAGCCCCAGGATGGGGAGAGAGCCTTAGGAGATGGTGGGAGGACCAACCCTCACCTCAGAGTGGTGATTTTGTTCTATCTGTGCTGCTTTGTCTCTCCTCAGCACGCCATGGACATCTTGGGCTTCAGCAATGACGAGAAATATGGCTCCTATAAAATAGTGGGCGCTATCATGCACTTTGGCAACATGAAGTTCAAGCAAAAGCAGCGGGAAGAGCAGGCAGAGGCTGACGGCACTGAAAGTGAGTTTGGCTCCATGCTGCCAGATCTGCCTAGCCCGGGCTGGGTGTGCAAATTCCTCCAAGGGGAGACTGTGATAACTTCCCTGGCCTGGTCTGTGACAGTCAGTGACCATGATTCCAAGTAACCACGCTGTCTTAGGACCTGCTGTAGGTGCACAAAGGGGTTTGTCCTTGAGCGGGCATATTTAGGACAGCCTTTTCTGCAAGCGCTAGGTGGTCTCATCTTTATCAGACTTGCCTCAGCAACATCACAGGCTGTCACACCCTGGCTGTGCTTCACCTTATTCAGTGTTCTCCTGCCCTTCATCAGACAGCCTTCCCGAGCAGGCTGTCCACAGAATATGAGCCAGGCCATGACCAGGACTTCAAGGACCTGCTCATCGGTTAGAGTAGGATACAGTCACTGTCTAATACTTTTCCTTGTTTGTTGCTTGAGAAAATCCAAGGCAAATCATATATCTAAGAGAATAGTCAGGCTGCAGAGCAAACCTGAAAATTCAGAGAAGTCAGAGCTCAAGTATTTTCTATTGCTTTTGCACTGCTGCGTTACGCCTGGCTCCCAGGCATGGTGGAGCAAGCTTCAAGGAAAGGGTGACTTTCCAGCATGTGGAAGGGTGAGAAGGGGGGGCCCTATCACTTAACTGGAAGGCTTAAGCAGCCCCAGCTGAGGCAGGGATGCAGCAGAAATGACTACCTGGATCAGACCTTGTCATGCTAACATTCATGAAGGAAGAGTTCCCCTTGCCTGAGGAATGTCAACACAGGGTTCAGCTGCTACCTGGCAATTAAAGAAGATTTTGATCTAGAAAAATGTATAGAGATCCCTAGATCAGGAAGACTCAAAAACCTGATAGGCACCTGATAAGGTGCAGCAGGTCTGCTATGGCCATCTCCTCCAAACAGTAACTTCACAGGCAGGAGGTCCAGACTTTAAAAGCATATCCAAGATGGGAAATCACAGTAGACACTGGAGGAGACTCTGGAGTGGGTGGAAAAACTAGTATAGTTAGCACTGATCAGCAGAAGAGCTGGTAATTATTTTTTATTTTCTTTTTTTCCCCTTCCCGGGACTTCCTTGCTGGCTCCTCATGCCTTTTTACTGTTTTACAGGTGCTGACAAAGCTGCCTACCTCATGGGAATCAGCTCAGCTGACCTCATCAAGGGGTTGCTCCATCCTCGTGTGAAAGTGGGCAATGAATACGTGACCAAAGGTCAGAACGTGGAACAGGTGAGTGTGCCGGGACATGGGCTCCCTGCTCATGCTGGTATGTGACTCCTCTGCAGGCCAGGGCCATTGCGTAATGTTCTCTGCACAGGGTGACTGGTGCTTCAGTTCACTCTCTTGGGTTCAGGAGGGGGCTCTAGAGCAGCATGAGAAGATGTATCCACAGTTACTGGCTTTTAGCAGCTGGGAGAGTTGGTGCCAGAGCTGGCAGATAAATTTGGATATTAACCAAGGCTGGAGGTTCAGTTGAGTATCTTTGAAATGTGGGTTGGATCACAGCCAGAAGAGGTCCAGTTTCTATGGATCTGCTTCAGAGACAGCCACATTTCCATGAAGAGTTCAGCTCTGGAAAGTATAAAACTTTTCTAAATACTCATCTAAAACTCATCTAAACTGATCTTGTGGGAGACTCAAATGCACCAAAAATGTATCTTGTCAGACTCCAGCCACATGACAGTTAGGAACCCAAACCTGGCCTGAATAGTACAAGCCAGTCCTCGAGTAAAATTCAAGAGGACCTTAGGAGCTGGTGTCTTATCCAAAGTGAGCTGTAGGCTCCTGCCATGCACAAGGCTTCTGAAAATATCACTTCAGACCGAATCTGTATCCTAAGACCTTGGAGGCTATGACCAGGCCAGGGCCACAAGAACACACTTGTGAGCGTGAGAAAGCTAATCTTGGAGCATATACTGTAACCATGAACTCCCTGGATCTGTCTGTCTGTCTGTCCTTTGTGTGCCAAGAAGAGCCCTCTTCTTTGCCTCTAACTCCTACAAAAGCAAGGAGAAGCATGAGTGCTCATGACCTGCTCTCTGATCTGCTTTGGCAGGTTGTCTATGCTGTGGGAGCCCTGGCTAAAGCCACCTATGATCGCATGTTCAAGTGGCTGGTGACTCGCATCAACAAGACCCTAGACACAAAGCTGGCCAGACAGTTCTTCATCGGAGTACTGGACATTGCAGGCTTCGAGATCTTTGACGTGAGTTCTGCCGTCCTGCAGTGGGTTTGGGGGAATGTTGTAGCCAGACAGCTCATTCCCCTAGTGTCCGACAGCTCTATCTCCTCCAAGAACTGCTGGCCTTGATAAGAAAAAGAGCTCTTGTCTGAATTAATTTATCTGGAGCAAACAGGCAGCTCACAGGGACTGTTCTAACATTGCTGTGGGCATGTATCCAATGATTCCTGGCTACCTGCTCTGGTAGCAATCCAGCTGAGCCTAGCTGAGATCACTCCTCATGCCCAGACAAAGCAGAAGAGTGAATCCCTTCACGTCTGGAGCTCCTCCTTCTGACGCAGGTTTTTTTGTTCTTGCAGTACAACAGCTTTGAGCAGCTGTGCATCAACTTCACCAATGAGAAGCTGCAACAGTTCTTCAACCACCACATGTTTGTCCTGGAGCAAGAAGAATACAAGAAGGAAGGCATTGAATGGGTCTTCATTGATTTTGGCCTGGACCTGCAGGCTTGCATCGACCTGATTGAGAAGGTAAAGCATGAGTCAGGGCACAGGAATGGTACTTCTGGTAGGCAGCTTGTTTGCAAAGGCTGGAACAGTGAGAGGTGCTCTGCTACCAGAAATGAAATTATTCCCTCCTCAGTCGGTGGCAAGTGCCCAACTTTGTTTTCCCCACACTTACAGCTCAGACCCTCCAGCACCGAGTCCTTTTTGACACAAATTTTGACTATGAAACCACGGAAAGTCTGTTCCTACCCACCAGTGAGCCACAAAACCTGGTGCAGCCTTTTACTCCAGAGAACAGTGATCCCTGCCCCTTTTTTCCTACCCACTTGCTGCCCCTCAGTGCCTCTTACTTGAGTACTTGCTCATTCAGAGCAGCTGGTATAAAAGATTTCCACCACTGCATGGAGGAAACTCACTTTTTTTTTTTGAAAGGAGCAAGCCTGTCAGGATGCTGGAGAGGGTCTCCCCTTCCCAACAATCTGATGGACTTGGGCAAGCCCCCATGTCTTGCAGGCCTGGCCAGTCCCACTCTGACTGGCTGGAGGTCAGATGCAGCCTGGAATACACCAGTGATAGCTTGCCCCATGGTCAATGTCTTGCACCATTTGTCTGAATGAGGACGAGGTCTCCCAAGTCAAGCATTGCCTCACCTTGCTCAGTGGCACAGAGAATCCCCAATTCTGGGACGGGACATGGCAACACTGAGCTCAGACCTCTTTGTATTACCTTCTCCCTGCAGCCGCTGGGAATCCTGTCCATCCTCGAAGAGGAGTGCATGTTCCCGAAGGCCTCCGACATGTCATTCAAAGCTAAGCTCTATGACAACCATATTGGGAAGTCACCCAACTTCCAGAAGCCCCGGCCAGATAAAAAGCGGAAATACGAGGCCCACTTTGAGCTGGTGCACTATGCTGGTGTGGTACGTCCCCTGTCAGCTCTTCCACAGCATTCACACCTTCCCTCTTGCAGGGCTGTCCTTACCTTTGCCTCTCTCCTCTGGTGACAGGTGCCATACAACATCATTGGGTGGCTGGACAAGAACAAGGACCCCCTGAATGAGACGGTGGTGGCTGTCTTCCAAAAATCCCAAAACAAGCTCCTGGCATCCCTCTATGAGAACTACGTGAGCTCTACTTCAGGTGAGGAACCACCTCACCCTTTTTTTGTCCTCGGTCTCTCCCTCCCTTTGCAGCAAAGCCTCCTCACCCCTAT